CTCAGACTCCTTAATGGGCAAGGAGAACAGGTAGATCTCCTCTAGGGACTTGATTTTCACGTCCTTAACCAGGCGACCCAGCTTGGTGACGGGAATCCACTCCTTGTCTTCAGCTTTACCTCCGCGAGCCCAGAGGCCTCAACCCCAGCCAAGGCCTCTCAGACAGCTAGCAAGGCCTCCTAATCCTGGGCCCCTGGGTCCTCTGGGCCCTCCCGCTGCACCAGAGTCATCCGCCATTTGGTGTTTTTCAGAAGAAGAAGAAGCCTAATCATGATTTTTAATCACCAAGCAATGCTAGCAAAGAAGTACATTAATAATGAGGAAGTTTTGTGTTTGATCCCTAACCTAATGAATCCATCACTCAGTTATGTATCCTAGTGAGCTTTAGATTGCTTTCACCTCGAAGGTTTCACCTTGAAGCTATGGCCAAAACATCTTAATCTAATATAAAATCATTTTAAGGCTTGTTTCAGCTATGACATCTCCCAACATTAGATTAAAAGAATTTAAATTACCCGAGCAACTGAGACTGAGTTGTTTTTCTTAATTATTAACCTAAGGTACAATCTATATGATTCCTTAATAGAAATTCATGTGTTCTAGCTGTGTGACACTTTCTTATTTTATTTTTTATCCTCTGCAGGCTCTGCTTTATCAGGGGCAGGGGTAACATTTGTCCTACCTTTACTTACGATAATTTTTCCACTAAACTAACTTCTTTCTTAACTCCTTACTGTATTTATTTTAAAAAAAAAACCACAATCATCAAAATTCTATTTAAACTAACACTATTATTGTATAAAATCATTGCTTCAGTTGAACAGTACATGTTAGAAGGAAATCATCTTCATAATAATCCACAGGTAAAATTGCCCAGTAGAATGAGATATTTACAAGATAGGAGATGACCATACTGCATTAAGGACAGTAGGGATCTACCAATGCCCATTCACACCATGTCAGTTACCAGAGAAAAATGGCAGCAGCAAACATGCAAAGTCACAGCAGTGGTAAGAAACATGCTAGGGCCAAGGATCTTGGGGATCTTGCTTACCCAGGATTCAACCATCAGGGTTTTGTTTCCTGGTGGGCCAGTCTCCTGAAGTCAGTTGCCATCTACTGCTCCTCTGACATTGCTACCAGCAACTCACCATGCTCTCCAGATGTTGGGCAAGGAAATGCAGGATTTGGTATTTTCTTGCTGGGTTTAGGTCTTGCTTTGGTTTGATAATTCACTGCTCAAGTACTATTCTTTCCTTTAGGAAGGGAAATGTTTGTCCTAAGCCATTTGTATATTGAAAGTATGTAACTTTTTATTTTATGTTAATTTACATAGAGTTAAGAGATTGCCTTGAGTTGAAGAGAAGATTTGTACTTTGGATTATTCAATAGTGTGGGAACTGTTCAAGACTGTGGGGAGTTTGAAACTGAACTGAGCGTGTTTTGCATTCTGAGATGACCATGAACCTCCAGGGACAAAAGGAGTCAGTCTATGGTTTAAGATTGAAATGTTTTGATGTCAAATTGGTGAGATATAGAATTGTGACGGTTAATGTTTCTTGCTAAACGGAATCTATAATCACCAGAGAGACAAGGCACTGGGCACACCTGTGAGGGCTTATTTAGATTAGATCAGCCTCCAGCCATACCTGCACAGGATATTCTAGAGGAGGTTAATTGAGATACTGTGGCGGTTTCGCTCTATGGGCTGGGGTCTCTGATGGGATAAACTGGAAGAAGCAATCTGAGCATGAACATCTACTGTTCTCTATCTCTGATCAGTGGATGAAGTGTAACCAGCTACTTCAAGTTTCTGTTACCCCCAACTTCCCCATCACTGTATTCTCAGAATGTAAACCAAAATAAATCTTTTTTTTTCTAAAATTGGTTTTGTCAGACATTTTGTTGCCCCGAGGCACACAGAATTCTAGTGGTGTGCTTGCACCATTTCTCAGGTGTCTTACTAAGGTATGAAAATCTAAGAGAGTGCACCTAAACTAACAAACTCTTCCTTAACCATCTGTGTTTCTCCACTTTGATCTTCCATGTAAATTTTCTCTATTCTTTGTGGCACATTAGGCATGCCTATAATCTTTTCCTTCTGTTAAGAGACTGAGAATTCCATAGCCAAATGATTTGGTTATGTAACTTGAGGTCATGAAGTTGGATTGGTGAAGATTTGGAGATGGGACATGCATGTTGACTTAAACTAGATGCAAACATCACTTTACATTTTGATTGCCTTGATAATAAAAATTGGAAGTGCTTTGTTTGTTTGCCTACTCATGAACTCAAAAGCTTGGAGTCCAGACCTTTGGCATCTTCTTCAATTCACAGAAACCTAGCCTCACTGACCAGGGTGGGTCAACAAAAGATGTTCCCATTTAGTGTCTTCCCAGCACTGGGATTCTGTACTTCATCCAGGTTCAATTTTTAACATTCATTGGTGTTCTACCTTTCATATTATTAAACCTCACGAGTGATCCTTATTTTTCTTCAATCTTTCATTAAATGAGTTATGAACTTTTTCATTCACCATGCTGGCACCCTTAATTTTGGGGGAATTTTATCTCATTTCTTATTATTCACTTGTCGTCTTCTCATTTATTTTTCAAGGGATCAAGCAACAAGGTTACTAATGGTTCCCCCAGTTCCCTGTCCCATGTGAATTTTACCCATGGCTTTCAAACACCCAATTCATCTCTCTGATACAGTCTTGACTCCACTGATTCACCAATCCAGAGAAAATTTGTTTGCCTTTTTACAACAATTATATTATCTAGCTTGACAATATTTTTCCTCTAACACAGTGATGGATTTCTCAATACCCCATTGGGTACCAAGCTTTTCATGCTCCAAATCTCATTTTAGCAGATACTTTCTTGGACCATTTTTTCTTGGTTATTATTTCAGGTTTGGTCACCCTTTGATCTTTAATGGACATTGGCTTTCATGGTATTATTCAAAGCATGCTTTTAGATTCAATTTCTCATGGAGGAGAAAGAAAAGGAGAAATTGGCCAGGGATATATTCTCAATAAAGTAATTGGCTGTCTCTATGGGAGAGTCTGGAACCAGACATCTGTTTACAGGTCATTGAATACTGAGATCCCTAGGAAAGAAAATGGATTAGATTGAACATACCTTTTGCATATATCTATTTTCTACATTTTCAGTAGTTTTAATAATATTTTGTGTTATAGAAGCTGTTAAAACAAGACTGCATTTAAATTTTATTTTAGTTGTTCATACATATGTTTGGGTTCTGTTGAAATTTCATCCATTGCCTTTGATATGATATACTGTTAGTGTAGCAATTAAAACCTATATTAGTTCATATGTATATAATTATATTATGTACAAAAGAAATCTTTTAGTTTAGTCTTTCCCTATTTTCAAATTTTATATGCCTTTTTTCTGCCTTATTCCACTGCTGGGTTCCATCTCTTATTGTTGAATGAAGTGACTGATGAAGTTCATCCTTATTTTGTTTTGAAAGTAGAAATATGTTTTCCCTTACTAGAGCAATGGTGATAATTTCAACATTAGAGTATTTGCTTATTTGTGTGCTGCTTATTTTATATCAAATCTTGATTATCTTTGAGAATTCTACTCCTAGCTTCCTAAGTTTTACTTAGCAAGGCTTTAAGTATTCATCAAATGTCTTTCTCTGTCTATTGAATAACTTATTTTTCCCTTCAAACTTTACTTTGAAAAGGCTAATACATTTTTTTGTGGGGGCCAACCATGATAAGCTAAGTATGGGCAGGTCACCCAAAGGAAGTTCTTTACTTCCAACCATTATCACCTGGGACTCTGACCATCAATGAATTTAAATGGAGGCATGAGTCTCAGTAGTTTAGCCTGAAGCAATGCCTGGTTGCTGGAGGAACCACAAACTGAGATTACCTGACCAAGAAGAGACCATTCAAAGGAAATGCCTGGCATTCCAAGCACTGTAGATAGGAACACCTGCCAGAACACACTCACCAGGACATCCTAGACAAATTTCAGCCAGTCTTCAGAAACCCTTCACCCCCAACTTTAGTACTATAAAATCCTATTCTAATTGAGCTCAGGGATCTCCAGTTATTCCTATACATTGGACATGTGGAGAGACAGCGTTTGCAAACTTGATTAAAATAAAAGCTCTTTGCTTTTACATTCGGGACTTGGTCTCCTTGTTGACTTTTTGTGGGGAATTCGCAAATTTGGACATAATATTTTTAATACAACTTGTTCATATATTATTTTTCCTATATGTTCCCAGACATAAGTTTCTCTAAGGCTGAAATTTGTCTGGTTCATCTTTGAAAAAAAAAAAAGGCAAAATATATTCCATGGTTTGGTGTTCAGAATATGTGTACTAAAAAAAGTACATGGTGATAAAGCTATGAATTAGTTTCCTGACAGTCAGCAAAGGAGGCAAAAAAATCTGGACATAAACATTAGGAGAAGCAAGATGCTATGGGACAATGTTCTGTTTCCTGTCAATTATATTTTAAATAAATGCTGATTGGCCAGTAGCCAGGCAGGAAGTATAGGTGGGACAATCAGAAAGGAAGTAGGGGCAGGTCAATGAGAACAGGAGAATTCTGGGATGAGGGAAGCTCTTTCTGCAGTCCTGGCTCAGCCACAGAAGAAGCTAGTGACTGCCTTGCTGAATAAGGTACCTAGCATAGACAAGAATAATGGGCTAATATAAGTTTTAAGAGTTAATAAAAAGCCTGAGCTAATGGGCCAATCAGTTTATAACTAATGTAGACCTCTGTGTGATTTCTTTGGGAATTAATGATTGTGGGAACAGGGCAGGACAGAAACCTCAGACAAGAGCAGCAGATATGCACTGCCTAACCTTCCTCTGTGTCTTAGCTACTCCTCAACTGCTGTGAAAAAACACCATGACCAAGCAACTTATAAAAGAAAGGGTGTAATTTGGGGCTCATAGTTCTGGAGGGTTATAGTCTTTAACCATTATGATGATGAGCATGACAGTAGGCAGGTAGACATGCTTTGAGCAGTAGTTGAAAGATCACATCTCAATTCACACAAAACAGAGAAAAAAATTAACTGGAAGTGGGGTGGACTTTGGAATAATCAAAATGTGCCATCAGTGAAGTACCACCTCCACCAAGGCTACACCTTCTCTTCCTTCTCAAATAGTTGCACCAACTGGGGCCCAAGTATTCAAAATATGAACCCATGGGGGCCATCCTCATTCAAACCATTAGAGCAGGAAAGAAGCTGGAGTCAGCAACTGCAGTAGCTATTTTCTTCCCTCTGGAAGGTCATCCAGTACACTTTCCACCTGTACAGTCCTGGCTGTCTCCACACACATGACATAGTTCTTATAAGTGCAGGATGAATAATAAACATAATCTCCATTTATATATCCACAGTATATATTACGTAAGTCATAATTGCTTCTTTCAAATCTGTAAGGAAAAAATAAATTCACTTGGCAAGTTATATTTTGATTAGACCCACATAAGAGAATTTTCAACACAAAATGATTATTTCTTTTGTCTATTGTCTAAGCCAAATTTGGGCTGAAGATTGGAGTGCATATATAATTGATGTGAAACCCTGTTTTCTCAGCTTCTTACATCTGGAATATTTTCTGTCATTCAGTTCCCGACTTAGCCTCTCTTCTCATGTGATGGAGGTGGGTCTTGTATCTTATCTGTTGCTTTCATTGGTTAACTAATAAAGAAAACTGCTTGGCCCTAATAGGACAGAAAATTAGGTAGGCGGAGTAGACCAAACAGAATGCTGGGAGAAAGAAGCCGAGTCAGGGAGTTGCCATGATTCTCCCACTCTAGACAGATGCAGGTTAAGATCTTCCCTGGTAAGCCCGGATGAGACCCTTTATTTTTCTTCTATCCCAATATGGTATGATAGACCATGCCCTCCTGAAAGGTTGCTGTGAACTCCCTCAAAAAATTACTTTACTCAACTGCCAACTGAGATAAACCTGGCACACAGGTTACACCATGAAAGATCTGATTAACAGCGCCCCTATTCAGCAAAAAACAGTTCAGAGAGAAATAACTGCGCCCATGTTCCCAAATATGGTTTATAAACATTCTTTTACATTTAAAAGGGGATGTGATATAGATATGAATAATTTTCACTGGTATGGATTTTAAGGTCAATTTTGTTATATGTATATGCATATTTCTAATATTGATTAAGGTATTGTGATTGTGTAGTTCATTTTTAAAATGTAATGTATAATTAGGAAATATAGGTTATTAATGGATAATCATTGATAATAGTCAAGCTTGTAGTCATATTAGTTAGATTTTCTAGATATATAGAGATATATTTCAGTTAGATAGGCATTCTTTATATCTTTCAAAGACTACAAAATATGGCATTTAAGTGTTTTAATAACTTAGGACTTTTCATGACAATGAGACATGTCGTCTGCTCCTGGCAGCACCAATCTCTACAGGACACAGCAGATAGTGACTGAACTGCCTTTGAAATTTTCTGCTTCATGGAAATGTCTCTGGACAGAGGAACTTTGGGTGACTGTCCAGGCAGCAAAATGTCTCTGTCATTTCTAAAGCTTTGGATTTCTTGTTTACTTAGGTAATATTATATCCTTTTGGAGTCTTTGATGGAGTTGAAGAATGGATAGATAATTATAGTTTTCCTTAGTTATGATAAAAGATAAAATAGATATATATATATTGTAACTGTAATTCTTGCTTGATAACTGTTTTATTATATGTAATATTACTATGTTAAAGTTAAAGCCTTTCTTTTTTGTTTAAACAGAAAAAAGGGAAATGATGGAGGTGGGTCTTGTGTCTTATCTGTTGCTTTCATTGGTTAACTAATAAAGAAAACTGCTTGGCCCTAATAGGACAGAAAATTAGGTAGGCGGAGTAGACAAAACAGAATGCTGGGAGAAAGAAGCCGAGTCAGGGAGTCACCATGATTCTCCCACTCCAGACAGACATAGGTTAAGATCTTCCCTGGTAAGCCAGCTCGTGGTGCTACACAGAATATTAGAAATGGGTTAGATCAATATGTAAGAGCTAGCCAATAAGAGGCTGGAACTAATGGGCCAGGCAGTGTTCAAAGGAATACAGTTTTAGTGTAATTATTTCGGGTATACCTAGCCGGGTGGCGGGATGCAGCCCGCCGCTCCTAGTACTACATTCATGGCTGATATGATTTACAATAATACCATCCAACAGTATATAATAAACACAGTGACTTCTGAGGTGCCTCAACTTTTCCACCAGAGAGCCTGTGTGATCATATGTACCTGCCTTTTCTTCATTCCCTTACCACCCTAGTCAGGTCCATCCCCAAGGCAGTACAAAGATGTATCAAGTTAAAATTTTAAGAATGAGCTAATAAATAGGCCCCATAAATAAAACATAAAGGAAAGAAAAAAAACCTCTTCCCAGAAAAAGAAAAATAGGTATGTGTTGGGTGGGTGGGGGGCGCTTTTTCCAATAAAAGAAATTCCTGACAAGGGGAACTCTGAGCTCTCTGGCTGCTGCTTGCTGCCATCAGCTCTTTCAGCCCAGGGCCCACCAGCACAGGGTGGTGGTCTCTGAATTCCAAAGACTGACGGGTGGGGCTTAACTGCTTTGTTTTGAGCCAGCACAGCAGGCCAAGAACTTAGATTTTTCTTGTTTGTTTGATTGCTTAAATTTGGTTTAAATGTTGCTGTTTGTTTGTTTATTTGTTTCTCTCCCTAATAGCGGGAACAACTCATTATCAATCAATGGTCCATTCATGGGAGAAATAAAAAACTAATAAAAGCCCAACTTCTGGTAAAAACAATTGCAATCAGGACATAAAGTACAAAGCCAATGCTGATTGAATTTCCAGAGGTATTAGTTATTCATTGTACGGAGGGTGTTATCTTCTCTTGATCAACTGATTAATGTAGTGAGCCGGACAGGATCGCCATTACAAGATGGCGCCGACATCCTGTCTTGTTGGAAATAAACAACTCCATATTTGGCTATGGCTTTGAGAGCTGCCGTCCCCGCTTCCCACATGCGCGGTGGATGAGGATCTTTGAGCCTATCCCGATGCGGTCTGGTGGCAGCTGTTGGTGGCAGCCAATCACAGGGCGACCCGTGTGCCAATTCCCTATTTAAGCGGCTGCCTAAGTGCCCCCCGGCCCCTTTGCTTCCTGCTGCCTCTCCCCTTAGCTCCCTGCCCCTTCACTCCCTGTTCCTCGTTTTCCCGCCCTCTCGTTCCCTGCTCCCCATCAATCAAGGGCACTCCAGTAAAAGCGTGATCTGAGTGGAATCCTGGTGTGGTGGTTGTTTTTTCTCGCCGGTCGAGAAGTCCGCCGCAGATTAATGCTTAAATGAATGTTTAATTTTCATCGTAAATAAACAAGGAAAGCAAAATTCATGATTTTTAACAATGTTATTGGGTATGCTCTTGTCTGTTTATCATTACTGAGAATTTCGTTCTACTCTTTAATTTGCTTTCTAGAAACTTTCAGTTAAATTCTATAAAAAAATGTAAGACCTGAAATAGAGTGGTAGTCATAATATGGGTGCTAAGGCAAAAGTTCATAGAAATAATCTCTTAATCTCTTGCTAATAAATAGCCTACAAAAATTATTTTTCTACTAAAGAAAACACAAGCAAATTTTTCCATTTTATTAATAATTGACAAATCACATCAATGTGTCACTTGGGATCTATAAAAAGGCATCCTCTTTTAAAGATTTTATAAAAATACTGTTGCCTAAAATGATCTCTCTAATTCCTATTTTGATTGTTTTCATGCTTTTATAGATGGCCTATGTAAAAAGGACTATGCACATAGAGGCAGAAGATAGAATTGCTCAATTGTTATTACTCCCATATCTGAAAGGTTAAACAGCTCAAAACGTAGGACAGTAGATGTTCTAAGCACTGGGAAGAAAGTATTTTTGTAAACTGTTTTTAATGAAGAAGGCCAAAACTAAGATTACAAGTAAATGGCATTGAGATTGAAGATTTAGTGGACACTGAAGTTTACGTATATATAATTTCTCAAGTCTTGGAATCTTAACTGGTCTTTACAGGAAGTTTCTACTCAGTTGTTAGGTATTAGAACATTATCTCAGATGAAACAACGTGTAGAATAGATTAAATGTATAAGGTCTAAAACACAAATGAAAATATTAAAGCGTTATGTGAATGATATAGCCATGAATTTTCAGGGGAGAGGTTTCTTGCAACAGTGGAGAGCTCAAATTTTATTCCTACAATTTTAGAAACAGCCCAAACAATGATGTTAAAAATGAGGTACATTTCTAGAAAAGGTATTAGAAAAAAATTATCAAGGAAAATCACAGGCTATACAGATTTTTCAACAATGGGGGAAAAAGGGAATTAGCTATCCAAATTTGAAACCCAACTGCTCTGCCTTCAAAATGGCTAAGTAATAAGCCTGTATTGGTGGACCACTGCCTCTTAACTAAGAAAAAGTTACAGGTGCTTGAACAGATAGTAAAAGAACAGTTAGATGCTAAGTACATTGAAGAAACTACTAGTTATTGGAATTCTGTATTTTTAATGAAAAAGAAATTTGGAAAATGGAGAATGTTAACTGATTTGAGCACTGCTGTAAAACAAGTAATTCAACTTATGCAATCCTTGTAGTCCAGAATTCCTCTGCCTTCTTTACTACCTCAAGATTGGCCTATTACAGTTATTTGCTTTTAAGATTGTTTCTTTATAAGAAGAAGGTAGGGAAAGTTTTGCTTTTACAGTGCCTATTAATAATAATGCCAGATTGTAAAAATATAGCAATGGAAAGTCTTTCCTCACAAAATATTAAACAGTTCAACTTTATGTCAATATTTTGTGCTTCAACCAAATGACACCTAAACAATTTCCTCAATTAATTATTTACCATAATATATATGATAATTTATTTGTTGCTTCTGATACAGATACCTTAAAAAAAGTTTAATGTAGTACAAAAATTTTACCCCAATCAGGATTACAAATTGCTCCTGAAAAAAATTCAAAGAGGAGATTTTCTTAGTTAAGATTTAAATTAAGTAAACAGAGAATTAGCTACAAAGGGTAAAGATTAGGAGAGGTCAATTCACACTCAATGATTTTCAAAATTTATTGGGAAATATTAAGTGATTGCACCCTACCATAGTCCTGACTTTTCGAGAATTAAGTAATTTGCTTCAAATTTTGCAAGGTGACTCAAATTTAAACAGTACTAGGCAATTAACAACTGAAGCAGAAAAAGAATGGGCCGAAGTAGAACAAAAATTGCAAAATGTCTATGTGGGTGGACTAGATCTCACAACTGAATGTATTGTGCGTGTGTGTGTGTGTGTGTGTGTGTGTGTGAGAGAGAGAGAGAGAGAGAGAGAGAGAGAGAGAGAAGAGAGAGAGAGAGAGAAACAGTAGTTACCTCTTCAGAAGACAGACAGAAAGAGAGAGTGTGTGTAGGCTGGAGAAGGCTGAGATCTGCTTGCCTGGAGGCAAATTGGGATGGTTGGGAGTGGGTGGGGCTTGTCTCTTAAAGGGACAGAGTACCTAGGTGACAGACCAGGCCAGCAGATCATAACACTAATAACCCTCAAGAAATCTGTAATTTGATTCCTATAGGTTATTGGAGGTTTGCCAACCTAATGGCAAGACATGTGTGGCAATTTTCTACATGGTCAAATCCATCCCAGACACCTGCAGGGACAGTTGCCTTTAAAGACACGGTGTCAGCTGAAGTCGCTGCGAAAGGCCCTCTGCTAGGCTCCCAAAGAAATGTGTCCATTCAAGTCTAACCACAAAAATCCACGAACAGAGACTTACTCCGCAGAGAGGAACATGTTCTCATCCAGTTCCTCGTAAGGTGGTGTCTTTGTTCTGGGCGTCAACCCCAGCCAATAACCTTTTAATTTCTTAGACTTTATAAATTCCTAGAGAAACAGAGAAGACCCGTTTAATAAGCTGTTTCTTACACCTGTACACTGCCTCACAGGATCACATACTGTAGGCTTCTGTTTTAGCATTATAGTTTTGGTGTAGCATGTCAGCATTTTTTTCACAGCACAGTTTCCTGTCTAGCAGGAAGAAAGCTGGGCCTGCCATGTAGACACAGGGAAGTATGAAAAGAAAACTCCAGTATTTGGAGGCTGATGTAACCACCAACCTGTGTTGTGACAGAACATCCTGATACTGCTCAAACAGTAAAAACCAACACCACCACAAGCTGGTTAGGAACATGGGTGACCCTGGTAACTACAAACGGTCCTTTGCTTTATCATTATGGTCTGATCAACCTTGCAGAAAGTGCAGCTTCCATTATGCATCTGATACTACAATATATCCATCCCTACCTGCCCTGCATAAGAACAGAAAGGGTCAACCCGAGTTCATTCCAGAATCTCCTCCCCTCATAAACCCATGAGTATCTCTTTTCTCTGTAGTGGCATTTGAACTGTATTTTAATAAATAAAGACAGCCTGAAGATTTGAGAGTTAAACAGTCCCAATGGTTAACCTTACAGACCAGATTACGGTAACACACACCTTTAATCTTAGAAGCCATAATGACACAAACCTTTATTCCCAGCAGCCACAGGAGAAACTGGGCAGTGCATGCTTTTAAGGACGGTGGTGCACGCCTTTAATCCCAGTCCTAGAGAGGATTATAAAATGGGAGGAAACAGCTCTCAAAATACAGCCTCCTTCTGAGATTCCTGGAGGAAGGATTGCCATTTCAGACTAAGATCAAGGTTAAGAGCCAGTGGTTGGCTGTTTTGCTTTTCAGATCTTCAGGTTGAACCCCAAAAATTTCTGACCCTGAGCTTTTAAAATCGTGCTTCTTTTCTCCAAGTAAAACTTCTCATAAAACAAGCCATCCAAAAGCCCAGGGATGAGACTCTTGAGAAGCTCAGCTCCCTTCTGCTGGTTTATTTTTGCTTTCTAATAAAATGGTTCAACTTTTCACTTTCTGTGTCAGAACTTGGCAACAGTGAGTTGAAGTCTCTGAGACCTCTTCTGCCTTCACCACAGGTGACAAAAGGACTGCTGATTCACTGAATCACCTTCATGTAGGGTCAATGAAAACTAGCAATTTTCCAGATATAAGTATTTGGGTAATAAATATTCAATCTGAGGCAAAGGAGGTGGTTAATAAAGACAAGCTGGACTTAACAGAAAAGAGAAGTATAATGCAATAGACCCACACAAGAGCAGTAACCACAGAATCAAAATTAGCACAGAACACTTTACCCAAAGTTACATCTGCTTTTCTGTTAAAGACAGACATTTCTTGAAAGTAAATAATTATAAATGATTATTTGAGAAAGGTCACTGAGACAGAATAGTTCATCGAATTCCCTTCTCCTGTAAAAGATGGCAAAGATTCTTACGGTAAAGAAGCTGAACCACTTAGGGGATATATTTTTACTCCAAGATGAATGACTACAATATAGGACCAGCAGCTCACACAGGTAATTCCAGAACTTGGGAGACTGAGACAATAGGATTCCTATGAGTTTGAGATAAGCCAGGGCTACTGAGTGAGATTTGTCTCAAAAGAAAGAAGGAAAATAGTAAAAGATTGCGATGTGAGAGGCCAGAACTCTTTATTAATACATGAAACAGAAAGCTATTAGTTAGATCAGTAGTTCCCACTATGTGAGTTACTATTCCTTTGGAATCGAATGACTCTTTCACAGGGGTCACCTAAGACCATCAGAAATTTCAAATATTTGCATTACAATTCATAGCAGTAGCAAAATTACAGTTATGAAGTAGCAACGAAAATAATTTTGCGGTTGAGAATTGCCACAACATAAAGAATTATATTAAATACATGCAGCATTAGAAAGGTTGAGAACCACTGACAGAAACAAATAAGTAAGCAAACTAGAGGATTCACTTATCATTAGTTCTAATAACTCTGTGCAAATGTGTCTGCTTAACATGTGCCTCTTCTCTGTCAACCCAGTATCCATATTTAAACAAATATCACCCTATTTTACTTTATCTGGCTTCTTTCCATAATAAATAAAAAAAAATTATATATTGACAATAAAGAAGATTGTCCTATGTGGTTTTTATGGGCATGGGAAGCCTTAGCCATGATGGCCACACTTTTTGTCTTTGGATAGCTACTCTGAGGACATACACAGAAACCTGTTACTACACTTCCAACTTGCAAATAACATAGACTTTTGGATTCTGGGGGTCCCTGATCTACCCACCTATTCTGCAACTTCTAAGATTTTGATTAAGCTAAAGCTCGTGTGTTTTAGCTTGACTGTGATTTCCCTGAGACAAAAGTGGAAGGCCCACTCCCCTCCCCATGCAAGGAAAACAATCCCGAGTCATGAATGGATCATTGCGTGTCTTCCCAACACATCCCTCTTCATCCCACATTCCATGATGTGAAGTGATTCCTTCCGGAGGGAACAGAGACATGGAACCTTACCAGCACATTTTTGTTCTTAATCTTCAGCAGGCTGCCATTTCGAGAAGAACAGAGCATTTCACTCACTTGCCATGTTTCAGACTTTCCAAGTTTGGAATAACAACTGTCCTCAAACCATTGTGAACCCTCTGGACAAGGCTTGCATTTGTGTTCTAGAAGGAGGACAGAGTTTTATAGGTTTGCATGAACACCTTTGACTACAATTCCTTTACTGTCTGTGGACATTGATCAGATTTACTGTGTTTCTTCTCTTTATGTCAAGGAGAAAGAAACCATGTCATATGCATCCCTATACATCACCCTAGGAACATGACACAATACTTGGGCAAACACAGAGGTTCAAGTACATGAACAAATTCAAACATGTTGTCCATCATTAGGAACCTGAATAGTTTTTCTTTCCCTTCCTTCCTTCCTTCCTTCCTTCCTTTCTTTTTTTCTTTTTTGACTCACATATGACTCTAAAAATTAATCACAGCAAATTCTGTCTTGTAAAACCAGGTTTACAGAGCCAAGTCAGTCTGGTTTTCTCCAGCAAGTGTTTCTCTAGCTTTCAACTTCTGGAATATTGAAGAAGCAGCTTAGAAGCACGGGAATATAGTTTAGCCATAATAACTACAAAAGCGCTGGAAGGCAACACTTCCTTCCTTGCTCGGTGCATCACCTGAGACTTCATTTCTTTGCCAGGATCTTTCACCCCTTCAGCACAAATTGAAATTTAGGAATGAGATCATGTACAAAGAAGCACCCTTCCCTACTTACTACCTCCTGAGCTTTGGGCCTAGGATAAGGGTAATAAACCACAGATTAGAGAAACTGAGTATACTCTCTGGTGCTTCATTATGTAACTGTCGAACCTTGTAAATTGGTAGTCTATTTATTTCTACTTTCATGTTTTTCCCCTAACTAGTTTACCAAACACATTTAACTCTTTTGAGACAGGGTTTCCCTATAGCTTTGATGCTTGTCCTGGAATGATCTTTTGTAGACCAGGCTGGCCTCGACATCACAGAGATCCACCTGCCTCTGCCTCCTGAGTGCTGCTGGTGTTAAAGACATGTTCCACCACTGCTCAGCTAAGAAAGTGATTCTTAAAGGACCCTAAGGTTTAGTTTGTTGCCCGAGGAATAGTTTTGAGAGCAGTACAGGGTTACCTGGTTTGTTTTTACACAGTTCACGACACAGCTGGGTGGCTGTCTTTTGCAGCATGGCGGACAGTTTCCTGATTCTTTTGGAGCTGTTCATATTGTGCATCAGCTGTAGAGAAACATTACTTTGAAGTTCTTCTCTGATGTTTTGTAGTTGATTTGATTTTATCATTTCTGTCCGCAAAGTTGTATGAACTCCAGGATTTTTTAAAGACAGGAGAGAAGAAAATAGTAGATGATTTTTAAAAACTTATAAATTCTCAGTTATTCTTTCACCGTTTGAAACTTGATGAGTTTTTTTTCCCTCAAAAATAGCACTAAAGTATTAAAGTGGTAGAAAAAGAATAAACATTGGTTCAACAACTCATGGCATTCTAAATTAGCCCAAAATATCTATATAGATGCATGCATTTACAAATACATATAAATATATATGTAACACTGCACAAACTCATCAGGTTGCATTTTTGTATTTATTTATATATCTGCATAACAAGAATAATTGAAGACTAAGAGGTTCTGAATTTAAGAAGGAGCAGGCAAGGGCATGAGAGTGATTATAGGAAAAAGGGAGAAATGATGCAACTATATTTTAATTAAATTTAAATTTTCTTTTTAAAGAATGATGTGATACATACACAAACCTCCTAAGACCCCCAGTCCAATGAGCAGCAGAAGGCATAGAACAGTTAGAATCAAGACTGCTTTATGCTGTGAATAGGAAGGGGCAGAAGGTACTGTGAAAAGAAAAAGAGCACAGTGTTCAATAAGCAGTTCACACCTCAGTTTCATTCATTCATCCTGTCTCTCATTCATTCATTCATTCATTCATCCTCTCCTCATTTCTTTTCTCCTGTGTATTTTTTTTAATAAAACAGTAATTTGTTCGAAACCCAAAGACATTAATTTTTTTCAAGAATAATCAGATAGGAAACCGCAAGTAAGGCATCAGGTTTTATTTTAAGATCTTTAACTATGCTGTCTTACTGCCCAGATCTTTTGTTCATTAAATGTCTCAAATTTCGTACTAATAAGATCAAGTCAATGAATTTTTAAAGTAAGAAAAGTAGTAAATTCTTTTGAATGAGGAAAAAGTCTCATAGACAAAGACATTAATCCCTAGGCTGAAAAAAAGATACAAAAAAAGGAAGGAGAAAATTTATAAAATAGGGAGGAGGAAGGAAAATGGAGAGGACTGGAGGCAGAGTGTATCCTTGGATACATTGTGGCAATTGTCTGGAGGCTGAGGGAAGCCAAGTCAGTCTGAGGAGCTTCTTGTGATGTAGAGGTGAGGCTTGACAGGCAATCCCAGCTGTTAACACTTTCCCCTCTAACGCCAAGGGTGGAGCTGCTGAACAGCAGAGCAGGCTCTCACTGGTTATGTCTCGGCATCCCTCAGCAACACCCTTCCTCATTTGCACTTCTCATTACTTTTTCAATATTTTCTATGATTTTCTAGCAAAACATTGTGATGGAATGATTTTTATATTTTCTGAACAAAGAATCACAGAGTAGATCATTTTCCTAAAAGTAACGGTGAATTACTGGTAAGGCATTCCATGATTTAAATTATCACCATATATGAATATATGAATATATGAAAAGACTGTTTGTAGCACGAATAATTAAAAACTCAGAGTTAGACATTGGAGTTCAACTTGAAGATCAGAAAAGCAAAATAGTCAGTCACTGGCTCTTTCCTCTCTCTCAGTCTGAAACGACGATCCTGCCTCCAGGAATCTCAGAATGAGACTGAGACCGAGAGCTGTCTCCTCCCATTTTATAATCCTCTTTAGTTCTGGGGTTAAGGGTGTGCACCACTACTGCCTGGTTTCTATGGCAAGCTAGTGTAGCTACTGGGATTAAAGGTGTGTGTCTTTGCTGCCTGGTCTGTAAGACTGGCCAGTGTGACTGTTTTACTTTTCTGATCCTCATGCAAGCTTTACTTATTAAAGTACAAATGAGATGCCACTACAAATGTTTTAAGAATGTAGTTCAAGAATTACCTAGTATTCTTACTCTGTTCCGGAAACTGTCTTACATCAACAGCTAGTAGCATAACAGTGTTGTAAGATCTCACAAAAGTGACATATAAAAAACTTGATTTCTTAATATTTTGTAAAAACTGTCATTATTGAAAGTACTATAAATATTGTTCCAATCTTTACCTGAGGCTTAAAAATCAAGCTCATGTGTTATCTTTTGTCAAAATTATTTTCTTACTTATGATGTATTCAATTATTTAAAAGTTATCACATGTGTGCCTTTTAGGTACTAGACACTGTTGTGGCTGCTCATAAAACAAAGTAATAGGGTGTGCAAGTTTATGCTGTCATGCAGATGAATTTTAAAGTGACAGAAAAGAAACAGCAAAATGCTTGATACAGAGATAGACAGACAGACAGATAGAGATAGCTTTTGAAACACTTTTATTTTAGAAAGTATGTGGTCCAGATGTCATGGATACGGGAAGAGATGTGCAGAGTTGGGGTGAATAACATGAGAGTAAGAGTATCCAGCTCTTACTCTCTGATTTAGGGGGGTATTTTTATGTGTGGAACAGAAGGCATTGAAAGTAGCTAAAGATTGCTCTGTATGAGAAGGAATGCTCAGGAAGAATTCAAAGCCAAGCCAGTCTGTGGAGGACAGGACAAGTGCTGAGGGCTCGGTAAAGGTTATGAGCAGACACTTGGAAGTCGTGGTACTGGAAGCTGAAAGGCATGAGATGACTTAGAAATGCATATTGTAGCACAGGAGAAGGAGACCTGGAAAGGGCCCTGGTGTGAGCCATCAAAGAGCACAGGCAAGAAGTCAGGACAAACAGAACAGCAAAACCAGCTCAACCCCAGAAAAAGTGAAGATCAGGAGGTTGTGTCCTGGAGAACGCCCTATGCGAAGGAATTTCACTTAGGTTTTGGTGTGGTATGAGGGTTGTGTTGAGTGTGTCATGTTGTGTTATGTTGTATTGAAAGTAGAACCCCACACATGCTAAGCAAGTGCTCTAGCACAAAGCTCTATCCTCATACTCTTTACTTCTTACTTTAAGACAGGATCTCACTAAACTAACTGCTTGGGTTGACGTTGGACTCACTCTGCAGCTCAGGCGGGTCTTGAATTTATAACCCACCTGCCTCAACCTCTTTAGTAGTTGAGATTAGAATATTGCTCCTTCAGTGCTAGAGAGGAAAGTAATTTTAAAAGAGACTGGTTAGCATTATGAAAACAGTAGGGGAGTACAGCAGTGAAAAAAGAGGCTATGAGATAGCCCAGGGGGTAAAGGCACTGGCTGTGCAAGCCTGACAACTTAAGCTAAATCCCTGGTGGTAATCTAAATTTAAAACAAAAAATAGAGATCCAAATGCTAGGATAAAACAAGGAAGCACCAAAAGACCTTGAATAGAGCAAGCTCCATGAACAATGAGGAAAGAAGTCAGGTAAAAAATATTGTCTCTGGATACACACATATACAAGCGCACATACACGCGCATGCATACACACACACACAAGTGTTCTCTTTCTATTTCTCTTTATCCTATTCTTTGAAAAGTTTTACTTTTCAAAACTATAAAAAGAGTAACATGTAAGTCCATGACTTTCCTGCACAATGTATAATCATAGTTCCATGGCTTCATGAATGAACACACACACATAAAACAAAACCAAATAAAAAAATCTTCATACTAGAACATCAACATTTCTACACAGACAACCCCTGTCTCAAAAAAAGCAAACAAACAAAAAACACCAGCATTTGAAAATAAGACCCTGTCCTTTGTATTGAGTTTTGTATTTTAAAAAAAAAATTGCAATGTAAAATATAGTGTTGTGTTGCAGGAATTTATGCCGTAAGTAAGAATATCCTTATAATCACTTTGATACTTTGGTTTAAATAAAAAGCTTAATTAAAAATCCACACTGAATTATTGCTAGATTTGAAGTGTGGGACTGTAGCTATTGCCACAGCCTTGGCTCAAAATCTTACCTTTTCCACCGCATTTGTCAGATGTCTGCAGATTTTCTTTCTTATCAGAGTCCTGGAATTTGAGATTTGCATAAACAATTTCTTCAGACATTGATGAATATTCTAAGAAAGCTCCAAAAATTGCCCTTTGGAAAAGGTGAGAGAGAGAGAGAGAGCTAAAGGCTGAATGAGTCCATCTGAAATTTTAATTTTCTCTGTGTAAATTGGAGCTAATCTCACAAGCCAGAATTTCTTTTTAAAAGCCCACTGTGCCAATCTCTCAAATATGTGTCCAAGAGTCACAAACCGTCTGTTGTCTCAGATAAGAACAGGCAAGAGTCAAAAGAGGAAATATCTTTCTTCCTCATATTTCTTCCTTTTTCTCATTTCTACACAAAGTAAAATTAGAAATTGTGTTTGGATTTATTTTTGTGCAAATTGAAAAACTCACTCTAACCCCATGGTACAGATACAGCATAGGATTAACCTGCCTAGCACAGAAATAATTGGAATGATTCGGTTCTCAGTTACTTACTGATACAACCACAGAGGACACGCATGGTGGGTGCTCTGTATGTAGAACTGTTAAAGTTCCCCGAGAAAGACTGGCTTAGTCAGACCTGAACATACACAGAGATGACATGCAGAGAATGAGTAATGAAGGACTATGATCTCTCTCTCTCTGTTGCAAATGTTCTGGTTATATTAACAGGAGCTTTGTTCCCACTGCTGGAGAGGCAGAAGTAGGTGGATCTCTGTGAGCTCCAAGTCAGCCTGTTCTACATAGTGAGTGCCAGGACAGCCAATACTATATAGAGAGACACTGTCTCAAACCACCACCACCCCTGAAATAACTAATTAGCCAGAGAAATAAATAAATAATGTGCGACACCACTACCACTGTGTAACTGGTAAATGAATGAGCTCAAACCTGGTAATATTGAGTCAAAGCCATAAGCCATGACCTGTGTTACGCTGGTACCAGTTTCCTTCCCCTTTTCAGTGGCTTATTGAAGCACCTCATGTGGATTGAGACTATGTGCAGAAGGTTAAGTTTGGTTTTAGGTTTCCTGGCCTGCAGGGTTGTTGATGGAAGCCGCAAACAAAGATTATTCCTCTAAGCACGTGAACTTCCAGTTGGGGTTCAGTGCCCCTGGTTCATTTTTGCAAGCAATATTTTTAGTAAATACTATTAAGACCAGAGCAACTTTTAAAAGCTTCCTTACTAGAGACTGAGATTTGGGTATCAGTTTTATTTCAGGGTGTTAAATTTTGACCCTAGTAATTTTAATAATCTTTATTTTTATCAATTTAGTTATGCCTATAACATCTTTCTTTACGTTTTAATGCCTACAACCTCTTATAATATATTTAAAATTTTAATTTTGTCCTCATCTCTTTATATTTTGAAAAAGTACTTTAGCATTGAACAAATTTTTAAAATTTAGTATATGAAATCCTTTTTCACATAAATGCATTTCCTTTTCCTCCAAACTTTTTTTTTTTTACCAAAATTACATTTATATTTCTAACCTGTTGGGCTAAGATTATCTCAGGGCCTGTACCTTGAGACCTGTAGAAGAGAGAAAAGCCTGGCTTGAGTATGAAGGATAGTATCAAAGCTATTGAGTGGGGGTGAGACAGAAATCTAGGTAGACACCCTTCCAGCCAGAGGGAGGGATTGGCTGTATGTCATTAGCTAGAGGTATCCCCAATACCACACAATGTCACTTAACCTATATAAGCTGATGCTCACAGTAATAAACTGAATTCCTGCTTTGATTTGGCTCCCTATCACATCTGATTGTCCTGTGTTGTGGGGCTGCAGAATGGCCAGATAGGGCATTCACATTTCCCTGGGGAATAAGGCTAAGGAGGCCTGGCACTAACCTTTATATCTCATTTTCTTATTCAATGGATCCTTTTGTATTGTGATATTTGTATCAATTCTGTAACAATTTTAGACATGTGTGCAATGTATTTTGACCTTATTTGCTATGATGGTGCCCCCAACTCTTCCAAGATCTATTCTTACCTCTCCAAATGCCTCTCAGTTTCCTCTATTTATTCCCCCAACATAGCCATACAGATTGAAAAACTCCTTCCTGTCCCTCATTATTACTCTAGCCCTCTATTCAGCATTCTTGAACAGGTCACCAAGTCTAACTGTTAGGGGCTGTTGGAACATTTACTTTGTTTCATTGTTCCTTTAAAATTCTAGTTTTTCTACAGTCATAAATGAATGTGAGTTAGCGTAACAACTCAATTTATGCAAGCACCCACCTACAAGCCAATATAATATGAACTAATCACAGATCTTACATAAAGACAAATCTTAAAGACAAGGTTTTAGAGCTTTTGTTTAACTCTATCAATTATGAGCTAGACTGTTGCTTTGATTTTCTACTTTGTGGTATCAATAATCTCAGGTCTGTACTTTCAAAGGTTTGAATTTTGCCAGAATAAGGTGGATTTACATCTTAAAGAAGTAGACTTGGAGGTTAACCTGGTCTTTAAAAAGGCTCAGGGACATCCTTAGAAATGGTAAAATCCTAACACGTGGAGCGAACATGCGTCGAGTTTCCAAGCTAGAGAGCAGAAGGGAAGATACCTTTACTGTCAGAAATGGGCCTGAACTATATTTTTTAACTTGCTCTCAAATTCCATTTCTCAACGTGGCAACAATCTTTTATGTTTTATAAGTAACAGAACAAAGAAACCTATCAGTCAACCAACTTCCCAAATACAGTAGGTGAACGTATTAGGTGGGTAGGATCCAGCGACTTGGAAAAATCTAAGGGCCTAAAATGCTGTCTGATGATGTTCTTATTTTGGGGTCAAGACAAGTTAGTATTCTTTTAATGTACTGCAAACGGCTGTAAATGATGATCACAGGACATTAGGTCACATACAGAGTGACACATGTGGCTATTTAAGGGGTTAAAATACACCAAGATAATTTGTCTCTGGGGGCTGGAGAGATGGCTCAGAGGTTAAGAGCACTGACTGCTCTTCCAGAGGTCCTGAGTTCAATTCCCAGCAACCACATGGTGGCTCACAACCACCTGTAATGTGATCTGGTGCCCTCTTCTGGCATGTGAGCATACATAGAAGGAATGTTGTATACATAATAAATAAATAAATAAATAAATCTTAAAAAAAAAAACACATTCCAAACTCTCCCCAATCACTTCTAATGCTGCCATGTCTTAAAGGCCAAGGGTCCAAATTCCCTAGGTCAAGAACCTATATCACTAGCAATAATAGGTCTCAGCACTTGCAGCCCGAGCTACAAAACTAGCCCCTGCTACAAGCTGCTGCCAGCAGTCATCCTCTGCTACTTCTTTGAGTTAAGGTTTCACTAGCTGTTGATGCCCCAAGCTACCCACAACAGGTGGGCCAGACACTAAGACTCTAACTGAAGCGCTGATGAATGCATGTCTCTGGGTCCTAAGGCCTGGAGCATGTTCCCAAAGCTTGGAGTTATATAAGCCTCTGTGTCCGTCAGTCCAGTCCACTAGCTTTCAGGACCTAAGAGCCCACAATGACCACCAGGGAGTTGTTTCTTGACTACCCATGACGCTGAGTAGACAATGCGACCAAGCCAGCTGATCGAGAGCACAAGGAGAAAATATCCCTTTTTGATCATGGTTTTGGAGTTTCAGATGATGGCAGGATGGCAGCATAGTTTGGATGTGAGGGTGAGGCACAGCTTCACAGTAGGATTACAGTAAAGCAAAGCCATCCACCTTAGAAGCAAAAAGCAGAAAAGGAAAGGATAGGAACCCTGTCATCCCCTTTCAAGAGAACCTTCCCAAAACCCTACCAGCTCTGTACTCTGCCTTACATCCATCCCTCTGCCTCTCCCTAATGCCACCCTGAGGGCTTAAGTCTACAACACATAGGCCTTTCACAGGCATTGAAGATCTCCTCCATACTGTAAGGAAGAACACCACTAGCAAGGTTTCTGCAAAGTAAGCTTCCATCAAAAGCAACATCATAGCACCAGCTTTTAAATCCAGGCTGCCACAGCAACATAAAAGCAACACACGTGTGTGTGCACTCTACAACAGAACACTTGGTACAGCTGTAATCATCTCTATGTTTTCCAGGAAGAACTAGAGATATGATGGGGACAAAGGCACCACCAACTCTGTGCCACTGCTTTTTGGATGTTTCCAGGCAACCAACTTTACTCCAGACCAAGTTCTAACCATTGTCACAAGTTATTGCAGACCCTGTTTGAACATTATATCACATACTTTTAGTAACTGCTCTGCCAGGGAACTGGATTCTAAATCTCACACGGTGTAGCTATAAACAACAAGCTGTATTTCCCTTGTGTCTAAAACTATTCTTTCTAAAGTAATTTGTTTCAAAATACGAACGTAGAAAAGCATTAGCCAAATGAAGGCGTAGGCATTATTCCATCTTATGCTGGAATCTCTCAAGCTAGGCCTCTGTGCCGAGGATAGCGCCTCTGTAGGAAACAAGCCTTAATTTACCACGAAAGCGCATAAAATCAATGGTTTTGCTTTGCCAAATTTCACTATACAATCCACATGACAATTGAAAATACAAACAGATATTGAAACACAAAACAAAAAGGCACGAGAGAAGAAGTGCTATTTACAGTTAGTTGAAACGATCCCGAAGTTACACAGGTATAACGGATTTGAGATTTGGGGGAGATTACACAAAGTCCAGCGAAGGGGGAACCATGATCTGCTGACTGGACGGCAGAAGGTTGAGTTGATGCCAATCAAGCTTCTCCCCGCCCCCAGCGGTGGTCGCTAGCCAATCCGGGGCTGCTAGCAGACACCGTTGGGGTGTGTCCCGCTGCCGTTACTCTCACAAAGGAGCGAGGACAGGGCCAGTGAGAGATCTTGTGGCCCGTCGGATCGGAGCGCAGCTTCAGTGCCAAACCATCAGGCTGGAGCGGTGCTGTATCATCTGTCCATCAGTCTTGCTCCCTCCCTGACCCAGAGAAACTTGGCCCTCAGAGTCCAAAGGTTTGACAACGGATATGATTATCAGTTCTCCTTTTGTCCTAAGAAATTTCTCTGCCTTGGTAGTAACTGGAGCACCTTCAAGATGATGGTGGAAACTTTATACAGAGCATCCCAGACAAGCCATGTCTCTGGGCATCATAGGACAACGTTTGGTAAGGAGATGACAGGGTTTGTTGCTGGCTAAGACTGGTAGCCTTTGCTTAGCCTGTGAGGCAGAGGGTACGCACGTGGACCTTAAATGAAAACGATCACTGTGGTCGTCTACAAAACAAAGGCTCAAAACTAAAAGGAAAAAGGAACACTACCTTCCCACTAGATCCGCCCTTCCCTAGCTGCAAAAAAAAAAAAAAAAAAAAAAAGATGTACCATTAAAACAAACAAACAAAACCACAAAACGAAACCAAACCTTCTGGGGAAGGCGGGGGCTGGGTTTTTGTTCTGCAAGCCTTGTTGGAGGATACACCGCCCAGTTCTTGGAAATGACACTTAGATGCAAAGTTACTCCTGAGCACCTTTCCCCCATTTCCAAATAGAGCAAAGACTGAGTTGTGAATAGGACACAGAGAATATGGATTTCTGTTTGTTTGTTTGTTTGTTTGTTTAATGGGGGTTTTGTTTGCTTGCTGTTTTTCTCTGGTAAATAGTGACCTGTCTGTTTGCCTTATGTGCAGATGTGAAGAAATTGCTGACCCTGTGGACCCTGCTATGTGGTGGTGTTGTTGTGCTTCTTTGGGGGTTTTTCAGTTTCCCTAGAAAATGTAAGTGATTGGTTTCTGCTGTCCGTTTGCCTCCTAGAAAAACAGTCTTTGGATAAATATGTATTGCACCTAATTACTGCTGATTCATCCCAAAATGGGACTTCATGCCTAGAAAGGCTTTTATCCCCCTCTCTAATTGGACAGCGACAATCACAAGCAATCAGCTGTGGCAGAGTAATTACTTGGCGGAAGTTTGTTCAGTTTGAAGCAATAGGAAAGTGAGTCCTGGTGGTCAGATAAAGCCTTATCAGGAGTTGGGTGTGTACTCCACGGTAAGACCTTGTAGGTACAGTATTCACGTCAGAAAACCGAGCCAGCTGTAATGGCGGTGGAGGTAAAGATTAAAGTGAGGTTATGCTGTGCTGCATTTCCAGAGTGCGTTAGCCTTTACTGCCACCCATGAGTGTGTGGAACCTTATTCTAACAGAAGCAATGGCAGGAGATATTCCCCCCCACCACCACCAAAGAGGTTTTCCTGACAGCGGGGTGTCCAGATTCTACGCTAGACCCTGTATTGTCTTACTCGGTCACTAGCACTGCCCTTTTTGTCTCCCATAGACCGTTGGTGTTCAGCGACATAATGAAGGTCACAGCTTATTCCCAAATGGAGTAAAAACAAAAAATTCTCCTTAGGCCCTATTCTTGCTATAAGTGCTGCTTATGTTTGCTGCTTAGTACAGAAACCTTCTTGAAATCTTTTCTGTGATTTTGTTTTCCTCTCCCTCCTCTGCTCCCTGCCTGCCTCTCTCCTTTCCGTTCATCCATAGGTCCTTCCTTTCTCCAGGGCCGCGTGTATTCCAAGCACATGATCTACAAACAGACTATATCTGCAGCCCAGATGGCTAAGTTTTTGCTTAAACATGATGGTGTTTAGAGTTCAACCAGAGCCTTGCTCGAGCTAAGCATGGGCTCTTGCCGTGGAATTAAACCCCAGTGCCTTTGCTTTTCAAATTTTCTACTAAATCCACTTTGATCAGGTTTCTGCTTCTTCTTTTCTGTGAAACCTGTCGTTGTTTACCAAAAAGTCAGTGCCACTACTTAGTAGCCGTCATCTGTTCAATCTTACTTGACAATACACATTCATTTTATTTTTTAAAGGATTTATTTATTTGTTTATTATACAAAATTCTGACTCCATGTATGCCTTTATTGCAGAAGATTTCACCAAATCTCATTATAGAGGCTGTGAGATACCATGTGATTGCTGGGAATAGAACTCAGGACCTCTGGAAGAGCAGTCAGTGCTCTTAACCTCTGAGCCATCTCTCCAGCCTTCCATGTTCATTTTAAAAATTATTTTTCTCTTAGAAAATTTCATACTATTATACAATGTATTTTGGTCATATCCATCGCCTTTGTACCATCCACAGAAACTCCCTTTCAATTTCATGCTCTTTGTTTTGTTGCTGTGATAATTGATTGAGGGGATTCTCAATCCAAGCACTGTCTAGATATGGGCAGCCTTCTTGCAGGCATGTCCCCAAAGGCGAGTCACTCCCTTCTCTGTAAGGGTACACTCTCAATGCAACAAGGATAGGCCTCAGAGGGAAGGCCTCCCCAACTCTTGTTGGAATTTTCACTAACTTGATATTGAGAAAAATCTTTTCAAAGCAAGCAGTGCTTGATGTAGGCATAGGTAACTGGTTGAGCTGCCAAGTGTAATAAATATGAGGACTCAGCTCTGGATAAATCATCTACACCACCCTGCCCCCCCCCCCAAGGCTCATAGACTATCACAGAAGAGTGAAGCTGTAACACTGACGAATGGGGAAGAGAGCTGTGCATTGTTAACCTTTTGCTGGCATCAACTAAGATAACCTCTGGTTCTTCACACCATTTAAAATCCCTTCCAAAAATAATTCCATTTGGCTTTCAAGTCAGTTTAGTCCTACTGCTTGTGTCCTGCCTATATCATGATTGACTTTATTTCCCTTACTCTTTCCTCCTTTCCCCTTGCACGGTGTTCCAATATGTCTCTTCATGCACCCAGTCTTTGAAGCATTGTTGTCCTCTTGGCCTACTGAACAGGTCTCAAAATTTTATGACATAAATACATCTTTAATCTGGGACACTTTTTGAATTCAATCATTTAAAAAAATAAAATCTAACTACTTGCTTATCTCAAACTTAATAGTGTTCATGCTGAAATATCTCTCTCCCACCTGTGTGTGTGTGTGTGTGTGTGTGTGTGTGTGTGCAGGAGTGTAGGTTCCCATTGAAGCCAGAAGTCACCCTTGGATGTCTTTCTTCAGGACTCATTCACCTTGTTCTAGAGAAAGGGACCCCTCACTAGGACTTGGGGCTCAGGTTAGGTTTAGCTGGCTAGCCAGCACCTCCCGGGGATCTGCCTCTCCACTGCTGGGATTACAAGAGAGTGTCACCACACCTAATTTTTTCTGTGGCTTCTGGAGATTGAGTTCAGGTAGTCATCCTTTAATGGCACAGAGTGTATTAACTGAGCAGTGGCCTCACCCGGAACTCTTCATAGCTCTGTGTTCTCTTGTATCCTTCACCTATGGTCCTCCTCATCGCAGGAAACAGTAAATATATTCTAACTTCAAAGTCAAAAACCTTATGTATTTTTTATTCCTTTCTTTCCTGATTTCCAAATATTATCAGTAAACTGCCACTGTCCTTTCATTGAGCCAAATGTGAACTCTCTCAAGTCACTTACCAGTTAACCAGCCAGCACTTCATTTTCTTCTCTGATGTTCGTCTCTCTTCTCCCTGTGATCTCTTAATGCAACTGCATAATAATACAGTTTCTAGTATGAGATTTTTACATTATTTTTTCCTACTATGATTTTATAATAAAAGTGAATCAGATTTGAACTGGCCACATTTCATGGTTCCATAATCACATATGACTAATTGTATCCTTATGGACAGAGTTTATTTTTAACAATTAAGAAAAATTATCAGATCTGTTGGCAATTTTACATGTTTTTTTTAATTCATTTAGAGCAAAGGCTTATGAATGGCTATGTTGCCCTTAAGGCACCTAGTCATCCTGAACTACTGATGTCCTGTACTACTGAATCCTTCACTTAGTCTGTAGGAACGTGGGCATCTTCATTATTTGGTGAACAAGCCAGGCATGCTCACCATTTCCCATTGCTTAGAAAAATGTGTTCTTACCCTGGAGGCAGACTTACCTCCCCAGTCCACCTTTCTTCAGGTACTAGGCATCACCTGTGTCTAACCCTACCCGGAATGTTGTGCGGTCATACTTATCCCTTGACCTGGATGCTCTTCATGAGAAACTATATGGTATGTATGGTATATATGGTAAGTATGCACCTTACATGAAAGTGAATTTTTTTCATGGTATGTTTATTTTTGTATTCCAAGAACTACAAAAAGATAAATGTCTGCCACGGGGTAAGTGCTCAGTTTGGGTGTAGTTGGATGTACAAATGAAAGAAAATATAAGCTAGCAGATGAATTATAAAACTGCATTTCTGATAGTTCACGTTTTAAGTCAACTGTTTGATAGTAGTTGTATATTTGAACCCAATATTTTATGGTAAATTGGGGTTTTTCCAAGTAATTTCAGTGAAATGAGGATTTTTGCTGTGCTATCACATCAGGTTTTATGTGTACAGAAGCTTACTGCTAGTTAATGCTCCCAAATGAGTAGTCTCCCATTCATAAGCTTGAGTAGGAGGCGGTCACTTGTTTGTTTTTCCAGTCTTCAGGTAAAAAAGTACCTTAAATACTTTCTCTCAGGGTTAGTCACAAACAAGTAAATTCATATATCCAGTGCTGTGAGTTAAGGAGAAAATGGGAAATGGCGTAAAAGTTAAATTTCAGTGTTTCCCCCTTCCTGATTTTTTTTTCCTAAAACAAAGGACAAAGTTGTAGCTTCAACTTCTGAGGAAATGCTGTTTCTGAGAAACAACTGAGTATCAGATAGGCCAACAGGAAAGGACCAACTCTTTGATATTATGACTAAAGAGGAATCTATTAGTATATGGTAAAATATCTAAGGTACCATATCCAATTATAAGAGATGAGAATGAGTAAATAAATTCCACTTGTATGAAAATACCAGAGAAAGATTTGTCAGGGGGCTTTACATTTCTGGAAGTTGCTCATTACTATTTTAAGTTACATGGAGATCTTAATTCTCCAGTGTTTTTTTTTTTTTCTTTCCTGCTTTGCTCTTGGTTGACCTGTCATCACAGAGCAAATGACTAAATTTATTTAAAAGTCATTTCAGTCAAATGGGATGTGGAAGTGGAATTTCTTTCATCAGTGTGAAATATAGGAGACTCTTACAGTGACAGTCAGACTCGCTTTCCTCACAGTGTCTTTCATGTTGTATGTTCATTTCAGTTGGAACCACAAGATTAATAAGAAACAAGACATGTGATGATGAAGCAAAGATATGCATGAATGCCTGGCATAAAATTAACCAGAACTGCTTCTTCCTTATCCAACATGAAAACTCATGGCCCATTGCAAAGCAGAACTGTGAAAATTTAGAAGCACACCTGGCTAAGTTCAACAACAAGAATGAACTGGTTAGATTTCCAAATGAGCATGCCCAGTAGTTAAGACACAGGTCTTTTGCCTTTGGGGAAGTTGCAGCACAGCAGGGAAGATAGACAGCTAGGAATACAGAAAATATGTAAATTACACAGCATGTTAGATACAATCAAAGTGCTTATCACTTCTCCAAGAGGGTAGGTTGGAGAAAAGTTTACATTTCCTTGAAATGATGACATTTGAGCAGAGAAATAACATCAAGGGGATGAAATCTCTGGGGAAATAAATCACCTGCAGCACAGGGTTAAGATAGGTAAATGCCTGGAATAGTCAAGGAACTGAAAACAGACAGGCAATCAGCCTGTCTTCAGTGGAGGAATGAGTATGGGTGTGACCACAAGGGTCTTGTAGGCCTTTACAAAGACTTTAGTTTTCTACGTCGGGCAAAACAAGGTGGTGTTTCAGAATTAGGATCAAAAGTGCCCTATAACAAATATAAAGATGGGGCTTTAGGTACTTGGCTCCCTGCAGGGCCTGTGGTAAGAGCATGTGGGACTCAGACTAGGGCAGTACCTTTTCACACACTGAGAGTAAGACTTCTAGATGATGCTCCTGATAGTGTTCTTCTTTATCACAGGAAGCTTTGATGAGCCTTGTAAATGAAGGATCTTCATATTGGATTGGACTGAACAAACGAAATTTGGACACACTCTGGCTTTGGACAGATGGAACAAAATACAATGATTTGTAAGCCTTTGTGAAATTGACCATGGTCAAAATTCTAACTCTATAGACAGCTACATCTACTGTTTCTTTTACTACATTTCCTAACCAGGGCCTTCAGCAGATGCTGAGGAGAACCTTCAGGCAAACGGGTAGTCTTTTGGGAGCATCTGCCCTCTGACGCCTCTGTGTATTTCTGTGTGTTTAATTGGATTGTACCTATCTTCCTTTCATTCTAGACTTGATAAAAATCTAGGCAGTTTAAGTCTTTCCCGAGTACAGTTTATGCTTGTGTGCCTTTGTATGCTTGAGTGTGTGTTTGTCTTTCACTTCTCATTGGTAAAGAGTGAGTATCCAAAGATGTAATGACGGCTACATTGTCCTTACCCACCAGGGGCCTAACAATATGGATGAGAAGAGATTGGGAAGAGAGATGTTGAATTTCCTTTTATTGAAAATTCTAAAACTTCTCTGCTGTCCCTAGTCTAAAGAATTAATTGTATCCTTAGATTCTATTTTTTTCTGGAAACATTTAAATTTTCCTTAACTTCAGAGTGTTATGATTCTGTTTTTCACAGAGGCTCCGCAAACTTTCACGCACTGCATGTCTTTTTCATGGTGCTCACTCTGCAGTATTAATATTTTGTACCTCATCGAAAGAATTTCCCCAGCTAGGAGAAGTTTCCATGATCATTCTATTTATAATAGGTTGAAAACACACAGTGACTTGAAAGCAACAATATAACCAATAATTGTGGTTTTTCACTTGAAAACCAATGTAAGAAATCTATGATGCAAGTTAACTTTGAGCACAAAACACAATTCCTGTGGTGTTTTCTTGAAAAAAAAAATGACAGTTTAAGATGTTATGCATTCCTATTTAAAAGAAATTTGAGGGAAAGGTATGAGCTGGTGAAAGTTGGTGTGTTACTTTGCTGGGGTCACCACAATAAATGACACAGACTGAGCAGCTAAAGCAACTGATCTGGAGTCTAGAAGTCCACAGTCAAGGTATTGTCAGGGTCTGTTTCCTTTGACCTCTTGCCTTGGTGTGTAGGTGCCTGACATTTCATTCTGACTTCCAGTGCCTCAGCCTGTGCACACACTCAAGGAAGGGCCTGAATCATTTCTACTTCAAAGAGCATCAGTGGCACAAGGGGTAGGGGAGTGTATTCAGTGGTAGACAACTTACCTAGCAATTCAAAGGGCCCCTGGGTTCGCTCTCAACATGGCAAAAGAAAAAGAAAAACACTCAGATTATAGGATTAGTGTTTACCCAAAAGACATTATTTTGAGCCAAGGATGGTGATGTGCCTAGAATCTAATTTCAAAAACATTAATTTTAAAAAGATCTTATCTTATTTAATCAGTCTTTTTAAAGCTTTATATTTAAATGCAGTTACCTTCTGCACCCCCGAGGAGTAGGCATTCCACTTATGGGATTCCCATAACAGTAAATGAAAAATGTTTCCCGAAATGCGAGTTACACTCTTCCCGACACCATCTCTAAATGCCTAATTTGTTCCTTTAGTCATTTTCATCACCGACATAAACGGAACAATCTGACCCCTCTCTGAAAAATTATGATAGTTTTTGTTCCTTGTTGGCAGCATGGAGTGTCTGGCAGTGCTGCTGAGGTGGACTCACATAGTACCTCCCCAGCAGAGTCCAGAGGTTAAGTACGATGAACGATAAGAGCTTACTTAGCATCCTCTTCACAGAGTACATTTGAACTGTGATCACTGGAGTTTAGATTCATTATATGAGGCTGTGCTGAGACTGATAAAGATGCCAACCCTTTGTTTCATTCCAGGAAGGAAATTCATGATTACGGAGAGTGTGCATTCCTGCACAAACGGGGCATAGACAGTACCACCTGTGATGACCTGAGAGACTCTATCTGTATGAAAGTAGGCCAGTGTCCTTGAAGGTTTCTTCCGTCCAAAACAAAATGAATAACAGTGTCTTATATTGTGCGTGTTAAACCCACGGTGATGTGTTTTCCTTCATATCAACATTGCTTTGAAATCTAATTTGACCGAAGAACATGCATATAAATTTTATCTTCACGAAATAGTTATTAAGAAGCCTAGAGAGAAGGCTAAGTTTGAGATGGTACTGCTGAGTCATCGAAATTGGCGGGTTTGAGGCTATGGGAACGAAGGGCCTTGCTTGGAATTTATTCATCGTGGTGGATCACTCGGGAGGGCAGAGGAAAAGAGAAAGAAAGATCCTTTGATTGTCTGAAATTGGTTGAAATCTGAATAAAGGAGAAAGGAGCTGTGAGACGAGATGAGCTGGAAAGTGTTTCATTTGCCCTCAATACAAGGTTCGTGTGGAACTGTGAAGAAAGGCGTGATGGGGAACTATTCTGATCCGGAGCCTTGTGTTGTCACTGGAGACCAAACACCTCTCAACAGGTCTCTAGGCACTCAGTCAAACTGCTAAACTGAAGGACTAACGATTACCTGGATTTGTTGTTGCTATCGTTACGGAAAGAGTGAAAGGAGGCAAGTTTTGTCATGAGTCACTGTGAGCTGAACTTGAGCAGTCGCAAGAGAGAGAAACACGAAGGAAGAACCTTGGTGACCTCGAAGGATCCGTAGAGATTAGCATGGATTCTCCAAAGCTGTTTCACTCAGATTCTGGATAATATTGAAATGGTCTTAAAGGAAAGAGGGAGAAGAGGTTAACACTGGTCATCATTAAAAATCTCTTCACCTACCACAGGTCTTTTCTCATATATGATCCTAGGGTTTGTGTTATATGGACATGCATGTGTGGAGATGTACAGGGCATGAACCCAAAAAGGGACTATGGGTGGGGTGAAGAGCTCTGAAGAAGGGGAGAAGGTAATTGATGCATGTGACATGAAACCAGGAAGACCACCAAAAGTCAGGAGGATAGGTGGCTGACTTTCATCCACTCCCAAACTTACTCCAGTGATGGTATTCAGAGCTGAACTCACATACATATTGGATCACACAACACTGAATTATTTTCCATATTACCATTTTCCTTGAAGTGCTAACCAGAGACCTTAGAATGGCAAAATCATAATTGCCTGTTGTCTGCAGCCATCTCCCTCTCTGTCAGATATAATTTGTTTCCTACCCTTTATACAGGGTAACCTTATATATGTTTAGCATATATAATATATAATGTTTAGCATCTTGACACTCTCGTGCCAGAATGATATTCTCTCATGCTCAGCATGTCTCTCCCTGTCACTCTCAAGTTCACTACAGTTCCAACTCAGATATGGTCATTCCAACAACATTGTAGCCCTTGGTACATTATCTTATCAATGACCAACATTTTTCTTTCTGTTTTTAATTAGAGTTTGCTGCACAGCAAAATGTCATATGGTTTATTGTTTTTAACTCAGTTTTCAGTTTTAACCCATCTTCCCAGAATGAGTCCAGAGATTTCCTGCTGTTATATCTCTATACATATATCCTGAGCACCCAGAACATATCAAACACATGTCTCTATGCTTGTTAACTAAAACGATGGAGACATGAGTATATGCATATAGGCAATTCCAAAAGGTAGCAAGTACTGTTTGTTTACATTGTCATACTAATTATTGGCAAATGCGAAGGACTAGTTATCTGATTTTAATCAGTGTTTTCCAATAGGATTCTCAAGAGCTACATAAGGTAACCTATTTGAATATTGGGCTTAATTTAGGAATTGGGCCTGCCTCATCTTTACCTGTATAAGACCCTCAGCCTGACAGCAATCGCTTGGTAGCTAGCCTACTTCATTGTGAGAGGTAGAATTAGAAGGCCATTTTTGATTTGCATCTATGACTTCAGTAATAACCTTTTCATTAAAAAAAAACCTCAATATTCTGAACCAGAGGAAGGGAAAACTGTAGTTTTTTCATCTGTGAAACAGCTTTGTAATAGACCCACTATGTAAATTCTCATGACTCTTATTTCTGTTTCAGAAGTTTGAGGGAGTATCCTAGGGTGTAACAGGGAGGCCACTTGTTGGTTCCGATCCACTTAGCCCCAAAATAATCACACAGAAACTGTATTATTTAAATCACTGCTTGGCCCATTAGCTCTCGCTCTCTTATTGGCTAACTCTTACATCTTAATTTATCCCATTTCTAGTAATCTGTGTATCACCACTTGGCTATGGCTTACCAGCTAAAGCTCCTAGCTCTGTCTCCAGCTGCTCCATGGCTTCTCTCTGACTCCTTCCTTCTTTCTTCCAGCATACAGCCTAGCTTTCTTCACCCAGTTCTGTTCTTCCCTGCCATAGGCTCAAAGCAGTTCTTTATTCATTAACCAATAAAAGCAACACATAGAAGGGCCTCCCACAGCACTAGGGTCATAGAATTGGTTTTAATTTTGTTTCTTTTGAAAATATGTGCAATGCTTTGGGAGAGTTCAGTGTAGAATTTCATATCTTCTATAATTTAGTGTTTAATATATAAGCTTTAATTTTTATAGTTTTTACAAATATAACCACCCCTAGAGATGTGGAGAGGAGTTCTACTAATACAGGACTCTGTCCTCATGTATTCAAAAGCATGTGTTTTTATGTGTGCCCTAAATAGTGTGTATATGTAAATGTGTGTATACCCATATGCTATACATTAATACCTATGTATTTATATATTAGTGTATTCATAAATGCTTACATATAATATGTGTACATGAAATTCATGCATGAAAACTGATATAAAATAAAACTTGAATGTCTACAGTAATAGATAGCAAGGCAGATTTCAGTTGATTTACTGAATATCAGTGTGCATAGAGATAAAATGACAGAGAAATTAGTTAACAGAACATTATTAGGATTTTATAGTCTAATAAGAGATTTTAAATACATGAAACAGACTACGACAAGGCTCAGTGAATGAAGTTCTTGCTACATGAGTGGCAACCTGAGTTCAGATCCTCAGAACCTCCACAAAAGCCTGGAAGGCATGGTACCTGACCTACAATCCCAGTGATCAGAAGGTGAAGATAGAGGAGTCACCAAAGAAAGCTGAGCAGTTATTTAGCTCAATTAGCAAACTCTGGGTTCAACAAGGGAGTTTGAATGGAATATGTCCAATCTAGAAAGAAAACTGACATCAATTCTGGCTTCCACATGTCCTCACCCACATGCTCTGCACTACACACACATGCAAACATGCATATGAATGCACAAAAATTAGAAATAAGAATATATGAAACAACTGGAGAGAGAGCTCAGCCATTAAGAGTGGCTTTTTCTCCAGCATCCATATAGTTGCTCAGCCAGTAACTTCAGTTCCAGCAGATCTAATGCCCTCTTCTGGTTTTCTCTGGTACCAAGCATGCACATGCCCCACAGACATACATGCAGGCAAAACACCCTCACACATAAAAATTGTTAAAAGTTTAAATAAATACATGAAAAAAACTGAACTGAAAGGAAAGATAGACACACAGCCATAACTGGGAACTTTAAATCTCTTCTCTCAGTAACTAATATATTTATAGAAAGAGAAGATTGAATAACATTATCAACCAACTTTGATAAAGAATGTTCTACCCAACAATAGCAGAGCTTAACTTTTTCAGGGTCATACAAAAATTCAAGTCAACCATATTTGGGTTACAAAAGAAAAATTTCAAACAATTTCAAATCCTTAAAATACTACTCTTGTCCAGAGTGAAACAGAGATAGGAAGGGGCCAGTAATGTATATTATACCTAGAAGAGCCACACCTAAGCAGAATGTGAAACTACTCTCAAACACAATGCTTAAGAATGGAAGATTCACAAAGTATTTGTAGTTGAATTAATGCAAAACATCACCCTGAAGGATAAGGTTAGCATAGAGCAAAGGAAGCATTGGACCACTGATGTCAGAGAGGAATAAAGACCTTAGACGGACCTAGGTGTCCAAAATAAGTGGGAAAAACTAAATCCAATGCAAAAGACAACAGGGCTGGAGGTGAAGTAAAAACAAATGAAATTAAAAACAGAAAAAAAGTGTATGTGGTACTCTGAAATTTTCAGTAATGTTTAATAATATCAGGACAGGTAAAAAAAAAAAACAAAAAAAACCTCAGAATACAGGGAGAATTTCTAAACTGCCAAACATCATCAACAAAACTCTACACCAACATAGTTAATGGTAGAAAATGAGTGCTTTTTTCCAAAAATTTTGGTCTTGTAGCCAGCATTTATTGTGAGAGCTGTCTCTGTAATCAGATGAGAGAAAGAAACAAAACAACTTTAGTTGTGAATAAAGTGGCCTCAGGTCAGGTGTCATGAACGCCCATGTAGAAAAGCCTAAGAAACCTAAGTCAGTCAACATAGACAAGTGAACAGTTTTCCCAACTCCTGTGATCTCAACAGAGTCGACTCCATTTCTACTTTCTAACAACAGACAACTGGAGAGCAAAATATATAACACACTTTACACTGGAACAAAAACTAAACATTTAGGGGCACGATTAGCAATGCATGCACAAAATCTGCATGGTAAACAACAAGTGTTGCACATACAAATAAGGTGAAGCCAAAATCAATGAAGAAGGACTCACATTGTGGACCACTTGTCACTAAGATGCCAACTTTACCCAAAGTGGAAGGAATTATGCTGTGGCTCAAGATGAATAGTCTGAGGACAAAGCATGTCTTCCTTCCGCATCTTTTCGTGTTGCAGGCTTCAACTCATCAGATGGGACTACTCAGAGGAACCCTGTCTTGAAAAATAAAAGAAAAAAAATTTTTCTTTTTAAAACTAAGTTCTTTTGTTGTCAATGCAACCAGGTTTGTGAACAAAAGGACACTGTATTTATTTATGTATTAGTAACCAATATAATAAAAAAGCAATGGATAGTTTTCATATAACACAAAATCAAAAATAATATATGACCGTGTATGTTAAAGATGTTTTGTTTCGTCAATTGCTGTAGCCCACGCAGTCATAAAACTAATG